TAACATTCTACATGTTCTAAGTAACTTAAAGTATACCTTGTTTATAAAAATAAACTTTGAGTGTGAGATCCATACCGTTTTTCCTAAAAATAGGTAACCTAATAATGGAGCTACAGTTTTCCCGAACCAGTTCCCATATCGGCGACATCTCTGAACACTCAACCACCAGTCTGGGCCTCCGGTTTGATGGCATCTTCTTGGCTCAGCTCATTTGTTGGTGATTTGATCTTTTGCCTCTTCTCGGCTTCTTCTGCTCCCCTCGAAAAACCCCCACTCCGCCGATCTCGACCAGAGTTGGCTTCAATGATTTCTACAAAAATTAAAGGAAAACCCAAACCGAACCAGACACAAGAATGAACATAATCATCATTATGATAATTATCATTCAGGCCGACTTTGGAGTATACTAGTCAGTATTTGAGTATGTATGCGTGTGTGCCTTCATTAACACACACTTTCGAGCCCTTTGCCACATGTGCTGTTCATTTGCTTTGAAAACTATTAGCTGATGTTGCTGCTGTGCTGTTGCTGTTGCTGCTGTTGCTGCTGCTGCTGCTGCTGCTGTGGCTGCAACATATGGTCGGTTGGGCATTTAAATAGTTTAATGATCTGTGCTCTGTGACTGGGTTGTGTCGCTGTTGTTGTTGTTGTTGTTGTCGTGGCAGCAGCATCAGCAACAGCAACAGCAACAACAACAGCAGCAACATTAAGCGATTCCCGTTTCAATTTCAGTTTTCTCATTCGCGTTTTGTTCCCTCCGAGTTGAGATGAGTTGAGTTGCCTGCAGTCATTAGCGTTTCCTGTGTAGGTTTTTCATCTGTCGCTCTTCGCATTTCATTTATCTACTCATGTGTGTCTGCCCTCGAAGCGTGTGTATCCGCACATACTGCATATATTTAGCAGGAGATCAGAAACCATATTTTTAAAACCGGAGCTCAAAAAGGGAGATTTTAAATTCAGCATAAAAAATAAAAACAAAAGCCAATACTGAATACCTTGATTATATCCTATAACTGCACTTCAATAAATTACACTTAAACTATAGTATTAAGGGGAAAATACATTTGTAATTATTGAAACCAGTGTGCAAAAGTTCGATTTTAAATTTAGCACTTGCGTTTTACAATTTTATAACAATGCTTTTATTTTGAAAGTAAGAATTTGCCCACAAGATATTTCCAGCTTTTCTTTACCAGTACTTGACACAAAATCTGAATGGGAGCAAAAAATTAAACATTTTTTACACATTAAGTTTAATGCACGTTTTCCAGACATGATAAAATGAATTGCAAGTCGTACTTTTTTTAACGTCAATGCTGACAATTCCAAAATTGGGTCAGTTAACACTAGATCAGCATTAAAATAAACTAAACCAAAGTAGGCGTAATGAGAAGCTCATTATAACTTAAATTTGTATTTTAATTTCTTTTTTCTGCCCCGTGGTATTTTACTTTTGCATTTCAGTATATTTTCTTATTTATTCCACCTAAAATATCCTAACAATAAAGGTATAAAATAAATAATTTCTTTAGTAAGCAATTTAAATATCTTAGCTAAATTAAGCTAAAATAAATTATAGGTATCAGAATCATGTTATTTATTTTTCACTGAAAAATGCCTATTAAAGCTGCAATTAATTTTCCCTTATATCTGTTGTTTTTTGTGAACAATTTAATTGGGTCATGCTGGCATTACTCGTTGGGCAATAACTTTTATTAATTCATTTGACAATTGGAACGGTAAACGTAGCCGCTGATAAGGCAAAAGATCGGACATCTCGTTCGCCAGAAACATTATTCGCCGGCTTATTAACCAGAATGGCAGCGAAAAAACCTGTTTGCATTTGATTTTTGCCAGAGTTTATTTTTATATAAAAACGCTTCGCTTTGTGTTGATGTTGCTGGGCTGTCCGCCTGCCTTAAATAATTTTATTTAAATCGCAACTGGCAGTGACACTTGTTTGTGCAAACAACCAACCAAACAATCAAACAAGCAAACAAGCAAACAAGCAAACAAGCAAACAAGCAAACAAGCAAACAAACAAACGCAAACCAACAAAGGCGAATCTCTTCGAATCGTTTGAATGAATTAGCCCGGCGACAAAGACCTTCAGTCCCCCGTCGTATTTTCACTTATTAATGAAAACGTTTCAAATGCCACATTTCACATTTCGTGCGCCATTGAATCACACTCTCTGCCAGCGAAATAATTTATTTTTTATTCAGGCACTGCTGCTGCTGTGATCCAAGGTCAAAGTTTGCCTAACGTTAACGTTAAAACGTTTATAAAAAACAAAAAAACAACGAGGTAAAAGAATTTTAGCGCAATTAAAAATAATCGAGTGAACGCAAAAAAAGCAACAAGTTTGTTTGTATTTTATCTGCTGGGCCCAATTAATTTAAGAATGAAATCGAAATCTTGGCATTACTTTCGGGTGTGCGTCAAACGTTGTATGATGTTTATTTATTTTTTATTGAGCAATTTGAATATGTTTTTTATGGCCGCATTTACACCTATTAATTGGAATTTTACTGGCTCAAATTTGTGGATAATTAAGAACTCAACTTCGATTTGGAACACAATTCATTAGACTATATCTATAACTATAACATCAAAGCTTTGCCTTTGCCTTTGCCCCTAGAATTCATTCTCAAAAAAAGCTTATAAATAGTTTACTACCTAGAATTTTGTATATCAAGGAACGGAAAAAATTGAAATGACGTTTACAGTTTTCTACACAAAGTCGATTGCCAAATATATAAAGAGGAGGGACCTGTGCCGCGATTTTCTTATTGGCAATCAGTGGCGATCTGCCACTGCCGCAACCCAAAAAAAAAAAGAGCTCCACGACGTGTGTTTTCGTTGATTTTCTATTTTGTTTTCCCCAATCGTGATCATTCTCGAAAATTGTTTTTGAGTACCGGACATGACGTCAATAAGTGGGCGTTTGTGTTAATTTTTATACCCCCCGAAAAGCACACACTCGACCCACTCGCATACCTATAGTATAGTCTATATGTGTATATTCTCTGTATTTATTTCTTTTGGGGCGGAGAAATATTCGTTGGCGCTTAAAACCAATTTTATGCGGCACAATAATAATAATAATTCGTTGTGCTTTTTATCGCCAGATATAGGCGCATATATAGATGGGGTCACAATAATAGTGGCAACCTGCAAATGTAAAAAAAGGAAAAATTTGTGAATAAAATACAAAAAAAAAAAAATTATTTTTTATTCTAATGTCTTTGTTTTGCCAAGTTAGCTATATACTTTGCACATTGCTGTCCTTTTTGGCTTTCCTAAAATGGAAACTATTTAGAAAAAAATTCATAAAAAAAAACAAAAATTATTTCTAATAAAATTATTAAAATTGCAAAAAATAATAATTGTAGTAACTGAAACTTTCAAATACAATTGTCTTACTATTTTTAATGGTAATCCCAATATCGCTTGATAATTTTGCATACTGCTGTTCGTTTGGCTGGCTCTTTTGTTAATTTTTATAGAACAGAGACGCCATTTATTAATTTCCTGTATTTCCTTATTTGCCAGGGGCCACCTCGTGCCTTGCCTTTAATTATGTGTAAACAAATATTTATCTAAACGCGACGTCTGGCGGGCGGCTTTTCGCTTTTCGCATTTCGCATTTCGATCTTCCCTGGCCGATCGCATTACTCATACGCCGCGTTGACCAGATTAACTGCTGCATCGCTATAAAATCGGAAAGAACATGCCATAAAAATACAGTTGTTTTGCCATAAAAATGTTTTATTTCGCGATCGCGATCGTGCCATAATTAACATGATCATCATCAAAAGCCGAAATATGTACCCAGTCAAAGTTCAATTAGCATTATATTCTTTATTCATACGCTTCGTTCTTCGCCCTCGATTGGTACTTACTATATATATATATATGTATATGTGAATACATATATATGCAAATGAATCGGGAATCGAGACTCTCATTCTCATTCTCATTCTGAATACGAATCGCTAATTTCTTTTTGATATGCCAAATCGAACAATTATGAAAGTTATTCCCATTTGTTTTTATGGCCCTACGTAATACGTGGCGGAGCGGAAATAAGTGAAAAGCGAGAATGGAATTCTGAATTTGAATATTGCGGACGAATCGGATCGGATCGGATCGGATCTGATAGGCGGGGTGAAAGCAATTAAGGCAGATAATGGGGGTTAGCGGTGTCGAGGGCGGCAGATTCGTTTGTATTCGTTTGGATCCACAAAAAAAAAATACTACTACTACTCGTCTCCAGCATAAATAAGCAATTTGATCTTTAACATTTAGCAGTAGGGCCAAGCCCAGTTTCCCTAGAAACTAGAAACTACGAGCCACAATCTCTGAAACATCATGTCCCGCCGATTCGAGTGAACCCGAAAGCATTATGAACCGCAATAATAATAATCATAAAGCCAGTGTGTTGTTGCCCTATGATGTTTACATAAAAACACCAAAAAAGAAAAAACAAAAAAAAAAACAAAATAAATGAATAAGAAACCGCCTTTATCTGTACATATATAAATATGACGGGGCGACCTTCTCTCACTTTTTTGGTTTCCTAGCTGCGGAATTAATTACAAACATTAAGAAAAGTTCACTTCTTCTTCTGGCCACTTAATCCAAACAAAAGCATCTGGTACTTTGGACCCAAGGGGCACGCCTCGTGCTGGCTGGACTATTTCCACTATTTCTACTATTTCTGGGCTCTTATTTATTTTGTGTTTATCCATAAGCACGGCGAACCCATCTACGTGCCATTTTTGTGGCTGCGAAAAACTGCAAAATCAATTCGTGGCGTTCTTGCATTTGCTTTCGGGGTCGATAAATAAACGTGGATTACTTTTAGGAGATTTATTAGTTGTGTTTTCTAAAACAAATGAAAACGGTTTCAAAATAAAACATATTTTTTGATATTATTTACATTAAAAGCAATACCAATTCCCTACTAATTCTGTATGTTTTTCCTTCCTTTACAGAAAGCAATCGCTGCATTCAGCTGTCTGAATCTGCGAAAGGATGAAGGCAGACCGAGCTGAGTCCGGGCGCAGCAACTACGATCGGCGGCATTGAGGATCTCGGATCCGGATCCGGAGGTGGAGGTGCGTTCCCGATTCCGAGGTGGAGCGAGGAGCGAGGAGCGTGGAGCAGCGGAGGAGCCGGAGGAGTGGAGCAGTGGAGGAGTGCAGCTGGGGGAGGAGGAGGAGTCCTGGTTACAACACTACATGGATCGCAGAAATGGCGGCGATCCCTTGGCGCCACCCCGGCCCCCGAAGTTATTACCCCGTGTGCATCGACCAAGGGCGCCGGAGCCGACATTGAGTGGCGTCGATCAAGGAGTGGGTGCATCATCATCAGCAGCAGCGACAACAATCCATAACAACAATTCACAGCAGCAACAACTTAGTATTACAGCGAGCAACAACAACAACCACAATAACAATAACAACAATACGATATCGATAATACCTGCATCGGCGGACTTTGACGACTATCAGATCCACCACTTGACCTTCCTGCCGCAACGTCCTAGCAGTCTGAGCCGCAACAGCAGCACGGCCTCCTCGACGACGGGCATCAGTTCGGGATCGGTGTCTGGTTCCAGTTCGAGCTTCACGCGAAGACGACCGCCGGCACCTGCTCCGCTGCTGGCCAGCAACTACAGCAGCAGCCTAAACAACAACTTCCTTAGTCATTTCCAAAGCGCTGAGCCGGCGAGCAACGCCCTGGGCCAGCCGCCCGCCTCTCCCGTCACACTGGCTCAACCGCGACCCGAATCCGAAAGGCTAACCAACGAGTATGTGGACACGCCGCTGCAACATGCGACGCGGTCGCAGCATCCGGCTGGCCAGCAGGATAATGGCCAGACAACCACCCACCATCTATTGCTGCTGCCGCAAAGGAACCAGCACCTGCAGCAGCAGCTGCAGCAACAGCAACTCCTGCAGCAACATCAGCAGCAACAGCAACACCAGCAACAGCAACAACACCTGCAGCAACATGCAACGCGACTGGCGACGACGACGCAGGCGACGTCCCTTGGAAGCGACCACACCGACGGCTTACTACATTCGCACCTGCACACTAGCCCAAAAGCACCACCACCACCACTACCCGCCTCGAAGCAGCCACCCAGATTGGGTTTGGGATTGGGTCTGAACCAGCCCATCATCACCAAACAGCCGGGTGTGGCGGCGCAAAAAGAGCACATGCATGCGTTAGAGGAACTACTCCAGAACGGAGGTGGAGTGTCCGGCAGCGGGGGACCCCTGGTGATGGCCGGCGATCCCAGCCTGCTCAACCCCAATCCCATAGTGTGTCCCCGTTGCGGACGCTGCCGCTGCGAGCAGTGCCAGAGCCCCAGGCCCTTGCCACAGACATGGGTGTGCAACCAGACGTGCCTGTGCAGTGCCGAGTCGGTCATCGATTACGCCAGTTGCCTGTGCTGTGCCAAGGCCCTGTTCTACCACTGTGCCCGGGACAACGACCTGGACTGCGACGATGGCAACGGCACGCCCTGCGTGGACAATCCCTGCTCCTGTGGACCCTACAAGCGGACGCAGCGATGGGGCTGGCTGGGAGCCCTCTCCATCTTCCTGCCCTGCCTGTGGTTCTACTGGCCCATGCGGGGTTGCATGAAGCTGTGCGAGAAGTGCTACGGCCGGTTCGCGGGCCGAGGATGCCGGTGTCAGGGCATCGGTGGCGGCGGCGGCGGAGCAACAACGGGAGGAGCCAACGGCATTGGGTCCACCAGCAGCATGCTGCCCATAGTGCCCCTGGCCATCAATGGCAGCAATCTGGGTGGCAACGGGGTGAGCCTCTCCGGCGGAGCGACAGACGGCGGACTTGGCCAGACCAATGGCAAGGCCATGGAGCACGGATGCAGTGCCGCCAGGAGCATACTGCGCAAGGGGGATCTCACGCCGGAGAAACGACTGCTGGACTCCAGTCCCGACTACTAAGTTGAGCCACTTTTTGTGCCCGGTTTTTCCACGAGCAAAAATCACCAAAGCACAAAAAGGCAAACCTAAACAACATCGAGGACATATACACCCCATATATATATATATATATATATATACGGAAAATATTTAATATATGATTTAAAAATGAGAGGATACATAAAAAAGAGGAAGGAAAGATAGAAAAGAAAGAAAGAAAGAAAAATTAAATAACCAAAGACTGCAAACAGATAATTATTAATTATTAGAAATGTTATTTAAAAAATAATTTTTTGCTTAAAACAAAAACAAATCGAGTGGCGAAAGAGTGGCGAAAGAGTGGAAAAAAGAGGAAAAACTGACGAAACGAATGCGATTAGGAATTATTTTTCGAACGATATTTTTGCATTATTTGATTTTGTTTTACTTCAGTTCAATGTTCAATCTCTAAGTCAAATTCTTACTTTATAAACATAAAATAGTTGTATGCAAATAATTCCAATGAATTTTCCACGAATGTAAAGTAAACCGGGAGAAAGTTTTTTTTATTATTATTTTCATATACAAAATTGAACAATTTGGGGCAAGCGTAACAAAACACCAGATTATATATACCTATATACACACACGGGAGAACTTTTAGAGAAATATTCAATGGCGTAAATTAGTCAAATATTATATATACCAAGTCCAGTCCATTTTTGATGTTGTAGAAAGAACAGAAACCGAAAATTACACAACAAATATTGTAGAACTTTACGAATTTAAATCTTAAAATTGATCTGTGCGCGTGTGTGTGTGTGTGTGTGTTGAGGGCGACGAACTTTTCGATAAATTTAGAGCATCCTATAGACCAGTCTAAATGTGCTTAGATGTCGTTATAGATGTACTGCAAACCAAAAGTCAGTTAGTTTACTTTACCAACTACGAAGCCGGAACAAATCTTAGGAGCGAAAATATGGGATTACGAAATCGGTTGCTTATGAACGTATTTTACTACATAGTTAAAGATGAGTTAAAGATGGGTGGGTTCGTAGTGGTGCCAGCCAGCAGCCCCAAAAATGTGAGCAAGATTGTATATATGATGAAATTTTTAAGCAAAGTGCGAGATACAGAATGCAAGCAAATTCCAAATAATAGAAAAACAAAACAAAACAAAACAAAAAAAAGCAAAACTTAAGTGTAACGATAAATCCACATCTAAATGCAGCAAAAATACAAATAAACCAACATTTTTTGTATAGAATATCCATATAAAATATGACAACAAAAACAGTGGCAAATTAGCAACTTAAAACAAATTTATACATGTAAAAGCAGGAAGGAAGCGAAAAAAGTAAATTAAAGATTAATGTTAAACACTAAAAACACATTACTATATTGCTATATATGTAATCTGTATATGTACTATATATAACTATATATACACGCCTAGATATACAAACCAGAAAACTATGCTTAAAAACTCCTAACTTCTAAACGCAAAAAAACGCAACAAAAAACGAAAAAAGAAAAACCCCAAAAAACAAACTAAAAGCTGGAAAAACTCCTTAAAAGCCTAGCCGTTAATGAAAAAATTCAAGAAGTGCAGACCTACAAACAAAAACAGAAAAAATTATACACACGCATAAAGATAAAGATAACGATAAAGATAAATATTAATATTTAAGGCACTCTATACATACAAAAAAGCTATGCATAATGAATATTTATTTTATTTGTACATTTCATTATAATAAAATAAACTGAGTAGAAATGAGGAGACGAGATGAGTAGGATGAGTGTGCGGGGTTTTTATTGCGAAACCCGGAGAACCAGAAAACTTTATGTAATGTTTTTAGAATGTATGTTCCGTTAAAAACTACAAAATAAAAAAAATCATATAATACTAAAAAAATTAACAACTTTGACTGTGTTTTTATTGGTGGCTTGGAAGATTACAATTTGGATAATGAAAACTTGGTTTTTATACCCAATAGAAAAAAAATTGTAGATAAAAAAGCCAACAAATTGAAAATGTTAAAAATTTTTAATTGCATATTTTAGAGAGTTTTTGTTAAACTTTGGATTTAAAAAAAAGGATAATGAGAAGTGCAGTCTCAAAACAATTATTTTGTTAAATAAGTTTAATTGAATTGAATGAAAATGGAAAGAGGCAGTAAAATTCTTAAATTGAATAAATCAACCATGTTGCATCTTTTTTTTTAACTTTGAAATAGAAAAATATTTTTAGGGAAAGACAGATTTAAAACAAAGCTAAAGTTTAACTCAAATTAATTCAGTTTTTCAAAGTGCACGACTGCCCTACAATCATATGATACTAAGAAGAGTGATATTTTGTTCCCTATAACTTATGATCCCTTTTTTCTCCCCCGATCTCTTGTATCTGTGTGTGTGTGTTTTTGGTGCCGTCTGTGTTGGTGTGCCAAATGGCTATGGCAAAACTAAAGCAGCTGTTTCCGGTATTTGATTGATAGTGAACTGGCAGTTTGTTTATCTCGAGCGCACTCGGACCGACCGGAGGCCCCGAGAACAGAACGCGATTCTCGTTTGGCTTCGGATTGGGGCTGCTCACACAGATACTCACCAATACCAACACGGTGCACACTCGCACACACAAACACACAAAGCCATCCAGCGGCAAACGAACGACGATGCTTTTGCTGCATTTTGCGGATGCTATTTGGGGCCGCCGTCGGCGCACTTATTTTTAAATTACTAAAAACTGAAAAAAAATAAAAAAAGAGAAAAAAAAACAGAATGTTGCTGCCGTCGCCGATGTGTTGCTGCAGTGCTGTTGCTGTTGTACGGTTGCTGCTGCACAAACATTGCGGGCGGCGGCATCTCGCCGACAACCTACGATGAAAATTTACAACGGAAGGCGCGCATCAAATGTTGCAGCCACATAAACACTCGAACACACACACACATTGGCCCCTGTACTTAATTTAAATTTAACTGCAAAATATTTTCACTCACACTGGAGGGAAGTCGGAAAAATATTTCGAGATTTCCTCTAAGCTCTTCACATCTTTTTTCCTTTGCCGACAGTCCACAGCTGATCGAGCTAAGCCCAAGATTCTGGCTCAAATTAACACATTTTAGAAAATTAATCCTTAGATAAAAATTCCTAAGACTGGGATAACATTTCATAAAAAAATAGTTGTTTTTATGTCAAGCAAATCATTTCGTTATGTTAAAAAAATCTTAATGAATCTTAATCAGATTATAAAATAAACAAAGGTGTTGTTAGGGTAATTAAAAGAAATGATTTAAATAAATTTATTTTGAATAAGAAGAATAAACAAGTTTTTTTAAGAAAAACAAAATAGATGAAATGTTTTTTTTTTAAATAAATAAAAAAAACGATAACGCTGTAGCGCTACTAATGACAGTTATTTAATTTCAAATATTACACAATTAAAAGAAAAGTGCAAATTCTTGAACCATTCATTGAGTAGCCAAGAACAATGACTTTAATCTAAAGAGGAAATAATTTTGTAGCCTCGTACAAAAATGGGTTAACTTAGCACGTGCAAAAATTGTGTCAGCTGCGCGAATTTCGCTTTGTTTGCCCGTTTGTTAATTAATGCAAAGTGCAGTAACCGTTTTGCATAATTGAAGGCAGCGACTGACTGCCCATTGCCCATTGCCCATTGGGGCATTTCATTATTCAATCATAATTCGCGCGCTCAAGCGCAAATTACAAACAGTCGGTCTATATAGTATACTATGGTATGGTATGGAGTGTGGTTTTTGTATGGTGTGTGGGATGCGAGGGGCTGGTGATAATGATAACCCAGCGGATCGACCGGGCTTGTCGGGGTCATCCGGGTTTTTGCAAAAATAAAAAAAAAAAACAGGAGGAGCACAAACAAATGGAAAGAGGCACAAGAAAAAGAGAATGAAACCGAAAGAAATAAGCGCAAATAAAACATGACATTTTTCGTGCTTGTAATCAGTGGCGAGGAGGCGGCCGCAGAACCCTCAGACTTATAGAGGGGCCCCCGACTCCGATTCGGATTTGGATTTGGATTTGGATTCGGATCGAGACTATCCCTCGATAAGCCTTGCTGCATGAGACCTGCCAATTCGCTCGAAACTCGCTCCGATTGACACACATTAAGTAAGATCACCGAGAAAAATATCACTTATATCTTAAAGTAATTAGACTTTAAGAATTTTAAAAAAGAATTTAAAAAAATTGTTTAAAGAATAAATATTTTAAAACATTTTAAACGTCTTTTCCCTCATCAAAAATATATTTTTTATTGTTTGATTTTCTACATTTTTCCTACAATTCTAAAATGTATTTGCAACTGTTCTTAAATGTTAAAGTCTTGACTTCTTTACAATATTAATAGTTAAAGAGAGTAAATTTTACATTTAAATAATTTAAAAAAAATTAAATTGATAATTTTGGACAATATTTCCTTAATACAAATTTCTAATGTGAAATTCTTTTAATTAATTTTTATCATATTCAATTGAGCAAAGTTTTTCTCTCTCTGTATCGAATGAATGAAGCAGCAGCACTGAACTCGAACTCGAATACTCGCCGGCAGACGCGAGATGCAGTGCCTCTGATTGAAGTGTGCTATATTTAACCAGCGAGCCGATTGCGTGCAATGCAAGTCTGCCAATTCGAGTAACTCCCTCCGAAGAACCCCCCACTTTTTTACACCCACCCACCCCCTTCTCCGTTTTGGGGCTGTTCCACTGACAATTCCTCTAATGAATGAAGTTGATAAGGAAGCATATTGCGACGAATCCAGTGGGAAATGGCCAGTGGGCCAGAGTGAGCCAGCTCTATCTTCCATTGATCGTTAGATTTCCGAATAAACTATTATTATGCACGCCGGCATTTCCATTTACATTTCCCTGCCCCTTTTCCGCGCTTTCCATTCGTATCGATATCGCCATTCGGGCGAATTTCTTTGAAGATGCTCTTATTCACATGCACGCAATGAATCAACATTCGATCAATTCTGCGATATCTCTGTGGGACATGTGATGATGTTTGTGATCGCTCTCTACTCTTACTATCTTACTATCCATCATCATTCTTTTATATAAATTAAGTCTTATGTTTAAGATATTTGAAACTGTAATCTAAGTGTTCTGATAATAATAACAGAAAAATTAGTAAAGCCTATTTAGATTGGATGCATTACCGAAAATTATTTCAATAATGAA